CCACACTTCGCCAGTCTCGTAGTCTGCGAAGGGTTCACAGGTCGCCTTCTACTTGGTCGATCCACCTTGCCCGCTGCGCGGCTCTTCTTCTTGTTCCTGTTGGGTCGCTTTCGAGAACCATTTTCACTGGGTCGTCGCGCGGCATTATTACGACGTGCCCAGCCCACCGTAGTCGCCAAATTGTTGCAATGTGGACGATGGATGCTTCTCCCAGCAGCTGGTGCAATTCGTGGTTCATTCGCCTCCTCCGCATTCCGTCATCCATCTGCACTCCACCGTAGATGGTACGCAGCACCTTCCGTTCGAAAACACCACGAGCTTAGTACAGGTATCGTGGCCGTAGAGGACCACCGGTCTAATCAGCGTCTTGTAGATAGTCAAATTCGTGCGACGGCGAATTTTATGCGACCGGAGCGTCCTCCGATTCCCTGCCATAATGCGTCTTTGAATTTCTCTGCTGGTATCATTTTCGGCGGTCACCAGTGAGTCCAAATACACGAACTCATCAACCACCTCGATTTCATCACCGTCAATCTGAACACGAAGTGGGAGGCAAACATTGTCTTCCCTAGAACTTCTTGCTCTCATGTTTTTCGTCTTCGATGCGTTGATGGCAAGTTCAATCCGCCTAGCTTTAGCCTTCAGTCTGATGTACGTTTCCGCCATCGTCTCAAAGTTTCGAGCCACGATGTCGATGTCATCGGCGAAGCCAAGAAGCTGGATGGACTTTCTGAAGATCGTGCCTCTCGTGTCTATATCCTAGCTCTTCAAACACGAAAGTCCATCACCTTGTCGTTCTCCCCTTCGAGATTCAAAGGAAGTCGAGAGCAGTGATGGGAAAAATCCAAAAAATCCAAAATCAGGAACGGCCGAAAATCACTAATGATCGATCTTGAGATCATCAAAATCACAAACAGAAAATCAAGGCTGATTTTAACCTTAGCCGAGTTTGAGGTAAGATCACCAAACGGAAAATCATTACTTTGGTATTACAGTGAAAGTAAGAAACCGACATCCGCCACCATTTTGGAAATCAAGATATCCAATCCAAAATCCAATATGGCGGCATCCAGACAGTGAATATGCATCCAAATCCATGCAATATATCTACGGAATGGGCTCGATGAGTAGAAGTGGAAAATCAAAATCCACCGCCATTTTGGAATTCAAGATGGCGGACCGAAATCCATTATTGCGGCCTCCGGACAGCGAATATGCATCTAAACCCATGTAATATGGGTATCTATGGAATGGGCTCGATGAGTGGAGGTGGAAAATCAACATCCGCCACCATTTTGGAATCCAAGATGGCGGACCAAAATCCAATATGGTGGCCTTCTGACAGCGATTAGGCAACCAAGCCCATGCAATATGGGTATCTACGGAATGGGCTCGATGAGTAGAAGTGGAAAATTAAAATCCACCGCCATTTTGGAATTCAATATGGCGGCATCCAGACAACGAATATGCATCCAAATCCATGCAATATGGGTATCTACGGAATGGGCTCGATGAGTAGAAGTGGAAAATCGACATCCGCTGCCATTTTTGAATCCAAGATGGTGGTCCAAAATCCAATATGGCGACCGCCGAACAGCATATATGCATCTAAACCCCTGTAATATGGGTATCTACGGAATGAGCTCGATTAGTAGAAGCGAAAAATTGACATCCGTTGAAATTTTGGAATCCAAGATGGTGGACCAAAATCCAATATGGCGGCCTCCAGATAGCGAATATGTATCTAAGCCCATGCAATATGGCTATCTACAGAATGGCCTCGATGAGTAGAAGTGGAAAATAGAAATCCGCGTCATTTTGGAATTCAAGATAGCAGACCAAAATCCAATATGGCGGCATCCAGACAACGAATATGCATCCAAATCCATGCAATATGGGTATCTACGAAATGGGCTCGATGAGTAGAAGGGGAAAATCGACATCCGCCACCATTTTGGATTTCAAGATGGTGGACCAAAATTCAATATGGTGGCCTCCAGATAGCGAATATGCAACCAAACTCATGCAATATGGGTATCTACGGAATGGGCTCGATGAGTAGAAGTGGAAATTCGACATCCGCCGTCATTCTTAAGGTGAAAATGTAAGACGTGATAGATTTCATGACAACACGTGAGGAATTTTACTTTCATGTTGCGATTGAAAAGAGCATTCATAGCTTCAAAATGAAAGTGCAAAATGTTTCACTCTGCATCAACGCTAATTCTGGGATCAGGTCAGGATTCAATTTGAGAACCATTAGGTCTGTATACGCTTGTCACCTAAGCGTTGGCGGTGACAGCACTACCATCGCCAGATGGCACATTTCTGGTACCAAGACCTTTACACCTGCCCAATATTTAATCACATCAAATCGCTCGGCTAGAGAGGTTTTACTTGGAATCGGCGCCGATGATGTCGATGGCACAGAATTGAAGCTTGAATTTGGAATTTCAAAATGGCAGCGGATGTCAATTTTCCACTTGTACTCATGGAGCCCACTCCGTAGATACCCATATTGCATGGGATTGGATGCATATTCGCTGTCTGGAGGCCGCCATATTGGATTTTGGTCAGCCATCTTGGAATTAGGGATCAAAATCAATTCTTGCGGCATCTAAACCCATGTTATATGGGTACCTACAGAATAGGCTTGATGAGTAGAAGTGGAAAATCAAAATCCGCAACCATTTTGAAATTCAAGATGGCGGACCAAAATCCAATATGGCGGCCTCCGGACAGCGAATATGCATCTAAACCCATGTAATATGGGTATCTATGGAATGGGTTCGATGAGTAGAGCATGAGCATGAGCATGAGCATGAATGACCGCCCACGGTTGCTACTCTGTTATTGCCAGATCAGCTGTAATTACACAGAGCACCAATAGACGGTGCTTGGGACTAGCAATCATCATCAATGTGTAAAAACTGGTGATCTCAAACTGGGCAATACTGAAATGGGCTCGATGAGTAGAAGAGGAAAATCAAAATCCACCGCCATTTTAGAATTCAAGATGGCGGACCAAAATCCAACATGGTGACCGCCCAACAGCCTATATGCATCTAAACCCATGCATTATGGGTATCTACATAATGGGCTCGATGAGTAGAAGCGGAAAATCGCCATCTTGGGTTGAAATCTACCATTTAAATTTCATCCGGGAATGCTGACTTGAATTTCGGAATGTCCCAGATTCTTGAATTTAACATACCTTCTAATCCTATGATTTTCGATGATTTCGATCTTGGTTGATATTGATGCTGGTTGATTTTGGGAATCGAAAATCACGGCTTGTAATATTGGTACCTGTGATTTTAGGTGAAATCGATCTTGAAAGAAGATAGCTGATTTTGATTTTCTGATCTTGATTTTAGCCAACACTGCTCGAGAGTGTTCCCGATACTCGAACAGCGCCATATCCGGAAATTCATACTCATGTATAATCTGCCATAGCTGATCTCGATCGATTGTTTCGTATGTGGATCGATGAACAAATGACCTGCCGAATCGCGAAAATGTCCTGATAGTGGTGTTAGTATGCGTATGCGAGCTACTAGTTTACCCCGAATTGACGATCAAATGAATTGTTTACAAAAGCTGATACGTCCCTTTCGAAAACGTAATAGAGATTTATTCCCTATAACTTTATCTCAGACGTCATTTCGATCAGAAGTGACGCCTGCGGGCTATAATATATTGATGTCAAAGACGCCATTTTGAAAATAAAATAAAATTACAAGATCCAAAATGCTTAAACTGTGCTAAAATGTACAGTCAATTTTGAGCACAGTAGGCTGAGATAATCAACTTTTAAAAACGTCCGCATTTGTGACATGGAATTCGTCTGGAGTCGTTACCACACAATTTGATTATCCAAACTTGATTCAGATTCTGATAAATTTTTCATACAAAATTAAAAATGTTCGACCAAGTTGTTAGAATTCCTGTGAGATAGACAAAACGCTGCTGACGGCGTGGCTTAATTGTAGAACAGTGTAAACATTGTTAAAATTTTGCTCTAAATTGTCACGGCTCTTTTGATTATTCTCAAAGCACTCCGTTCAAAAGTGCTGCGCATTCAACTAACAAAACAAACCTAGATGGCAATAGACGCACGCAAGGCAACACACGGGAGTCCCATGTGACACCTGTGCTCACGTTCTCCGCATCCTCCGAACCCAAACCGGACGGAACGGAACTCGCGCACACCGGTTCAGAACGGGAGCAAAGCCAAACGAACACACACATCACTCAGCTGCCAAGTGCGCGCAATATAAGCAGTTGCAAATTACTTTTAGCGGTTCACACCGACCGACACCTACCAGCACCGTCCGTTCGTTTGCCGATGTTTCGAATTGACGCAACGGGTACCAACCAACCAGCACAGCACCTCACAATGGCAAGGTGAGCTGGTTCGGTGCACCATGCTCCCCTCCTCCTGCGATCGTGTTGTTTCTCATTTTATTCGACAGCCACCCGCCAACCCGCCTCTCAAACGTGCGTGGAATTTCAATGTTATGGTCCCCACCTTTCGATGGGGGTAGAACCTTGAAGGCTCGATTGGGTCACCGCCATCCTCCATTTAACAGGAAAAGTCAAAATTAGCTCCCCTTAGAGGTAATTACCGGACCCTAAAACCGAAACCAGATCAGCACTGGCCCGCAGCAGGCTCTGTGATTGGTATCTCGTTTCTCGTTTCCGTCTATCTAGTCTGCCTTGACTCGCTTTCTCGCTCGCACTGAACAATTCTGAGAAAAACTGACCTGACTTTAGCCAACTCGATGCTCTTAGTTCACATATGAATTATGGAAACAATAGCTCATCATCCAAGCGTTGCCCTCGAGCTGATTCCCCCTATATAGCTGCGAGAGAAAAAAAAAACCTGCGTGTCAGAATCGGTTCTATTCTCTCCCACGTTCATGACTTCTTCAAATTAGTGCCAATTTGTTTCTGCTCTATTCTAACCTGACTTTCTTCTTCTTCCCATTCTTCCACAGATCGCGACATCTTCAGCGAGGAGAACCGTCTGAGCCCACCATGCCGGGAAACGTCATCCTCACCATCGTCGTCGATCTTCAGCTCGGTCGTCCAGGCCGCACAGAACCTGTCAGTCAACAACCGGAGCAGTCCTGGCTCCCCATCAGGGGTCTCCCTCTTCCTTCAGCGCAGCTTCGCCAAAGAATCACAACAGCAACAGCAGCAGCAGCAGCAATCGGAACCGACGACAGCAACGACGCCGGTACGTCGTTTCTTCTCGTCGATCACCGGAGGCGATGTTCCATATGGCGGCAGCCGCGGGCACGTGTTGACACAAGCCGAACGGAAAGTGTACCCTCCCACTCGGCCAATTACTCCTCAACCGCCGCCGATAGAGAAGAAAGATCCTCCCAGCAATCAGTCACAGCCGGTGGTCCGGGAAGAACGCAATGTGATCACGGAGGAGCGTCCGGTGGTGTCGGTGGAGCCACGATCACCTCCCCCGAAGGACCGAGTTCCGACGCCTCCACCGGCACCAGGTCCAGTGGTGCGATGTTCCGTCATCCAGAGAGTTCCCGCAGTAGCCGCACAGTCACCTCGAAGAACCACAGTTTCAAGCCCTGAAAGCAGTCCCAAGGCTGTGGATCTGAAAGTGCGAGCACCGGAGCTGGAACCGGAACAGGAACAGCCCATTGATTATCACATACCAAAACGATGCGAGGACGGCAAGGAGAACAAAAAAGAGGACGAAGAAAAGGAGAAGATGATCCGAGAGGCCAGGAGGGAAGCTATCCTACGGAAGCACCTGCTGTCAATGCGCTACCGGTACGGCAAGCTGAATGGAATCATGCAGGCTGCAGCCGGTCATGGCCGTTCGTCGAGCGGTGGAGGACAAGCCGGAGGTGGTCACACTGGACACAGCGGCGGTGGAAGTATCAGCTTCTCGTCGGGATCCGGAGGAATTGGCGGAGCCAGTGGAGGCACTGGTGGTGCAATCGGTGGAGGAGGAGCCGGAGGTGGTATGGGAGGACGCGATGGGCGATCCAACTATGGACCGAACAGTCCGCCGACCGGATCGCTTCCACCTTTCTACGAAAGTCTGAAAGGAGGCAACGCCGGTCTGAACGGATACAACGCCAACGGAGGATTCTTGAACACCAACTGGAACAACTTGGACTGCGACACGACACAGGATCTCACCAATATCGGAGCCTACACGGATGCTAACGGGAACAGCAGTAACCCGTCCAAACAATACTCAATGCTTCAGAATGCCTACGGAATCGCCCTGAAAGACGAAGCCGATCTGGACTACGACTCCAAGATGGACTCCTTTTCCAACCTATACGGAAATTACGACGTCAACGATTCCATGATGGCCGAAATGAACGGCGTCGGGGTCGATCCGCTACATCTCACCGCGACACTGACCTTCTCCTCGCCGGGAGATAGCGCCCTGCTGGACAGCTTTACCGATGCCGTCGACCTGAGCCACTTCCTGAACCGACTCCCGTCGGACGAACAGTCCAGTAGCTGCAATGACCTGGAACTAACCTCAACGCCTTCTCTAACCCCTGATTCCGTGTCAACGTCCCTGCAGCAAGTGGACCATCACGATGGTCTCGATCAGTACCCGGAACACCTGCTCCTCTCCCGCAACTACAACACCAACTTCAACAACAACACCCCCAAATATATGCAACCCCACCATCAGCAAAACAACCATCAGGAGAATCCCCCAAGCTACCAATCCTCCCATCAGTTCCATTCCCTCAGCAACTTTGACCTCGACTCCCACAGTAACCTATCCCTCCCGTCACCCAACAGCCATTCCCTCCAATCCCCATCCTCCTCCTCATCCCCTCCATCCTCTTCGTCGTCTTCGGCTGCAGCTGCAGCAGCGGCCGCAGCCGCCGCCGCTGGCCTTTCAGGACACGGCCCACACTCTGTCGTGGCTCTCGGTGCGGCCTCACCCGTCATCGCACCACCACCGCCGCACGTCGTCGCATCAACCATCCAAAATGTAAGTCGATCCTCCACTAGTAGTAGATCGTTCTATCCGATTTCCTCCTCCGCGTCAACGTCATCGTCATCGTCGTCGTCGTCACCGGCTTCACCGTGCTCTACGACCACCTTGTCCACCATTCCCCTGTCCCCGATTGTGGCCGACGTCAAATTGAACGTTTTACAGCAAAGGGTAAGCGTTGCCTAACACACACACAAACACAAACTCTCACTCACACAATGATTCCCATCATGACATTTAGCTGGTTTTCAAATCATCATAGGCTGTGAACCATTTGCCGAGTTAAATTTAACTCGTGGTTAAAAGTGACATTTCGAAAGTTATTCTCAATGTTCGAAAATCCCTGTGCTGTCGATCGACCGGTTTTCGAGAAGAACTCAACCACGATTGTCAAAATTTAACTTCTTGTCTGTCAGAACTAACCACGCTCGGATAGCAGGGTTAATTGATAACTTTCCGTCTGTCAAATTTTAACCAAAAGTTAAAATAATCCACCAAATGGTTCAGAGCCATAGTAGATTATCTGTAACAACGCTGTATGTTTGTATTTCGCAACAAAAGAAGCTACCTTTCTGTACAAATGATTCACTGTCGACTATTGTTTCTTCTTCTTTTTCTCTTGTCTATCGCTCCGCTTCGCAACTTTAGAACGTCACATCTCCGGAACTAGGAAGTCCATCTGCGTGAAATTTCGCCAAGTTGCTCATAATCCGACCATCGACACTAATCCCATGTATTTTCCCCACTCCTCGTCAAACAGCTCGGCCTGCCGGCAGAAGTGCAGCTGGAATTCGTCAACGGTGGCCACGGTATCAAGAATCCGCTGGCCGTCGAGAACATCCCCGGCCGGCTGCGGGACGAAGACAAACACCATACCAAATTGCTGCACCAAACGGAAGTGCTCAAGGTGCAGGACGAGTGCAGTGGCGCCACCGGCGGTGAGCAGAACAAGTTCGTCTGCCGGATATGCCAGAAATCGTTTACCCTGCAGCGGCTGCTGAATCGGCACATGAAGTGCCACTCCGACGTCAAGCGCTACCTGTGCACCTTCTGCGGCAAGGGATTCAACGATACGTTCGACCTGAAGCGGCACACCCGGACGCACACCGGCGTCCGGCCGTACAAGTGCAATCTGTGCGAGAAGTCGTTCACCCAGCGGTGCTCGCTGGAGTCGCACTGCCTGAAGGTGCACGGCGTCCAGCACCAGTATGCGTACAAGGAGCGGCGCACGAAGGTGGGTATTGAATTCATTTGGGGGGGGGTCACTTTTTTTTCGAAGGAAGTTGAGGTTTTGGATGGGTTTGCAGTTGGCTTGGAAGGCAAGCAAAGCGAACCAGTTTCGTTGTGAAAGATTTCCCGGTCGACTCCACGGGTAGTCTGTGGACTTGCTGTAACTGGACTCGCTTCACAAGAGGCCAGTTTCGGGTCAAATAGGATCTCTAGATTTCAGATTGATCAGTTATCATTCTAAAGATATCCAAGTATTCCATCGGCCATATCGTATTTTTCAGAAACACGGCAGCTTAGAAATTATTCCTAAGTTGTTCTCTATAAAGTCGTCTGGATATTTTTTCAAGACTTCAAGTTGATCAGGTACTATTTAATACAAGATCTCAAACTGTTCATCAATTCAAATCACATATCTAGATAGAGCTGGAATTAGGGCGTAACAGCTTTTGTAAACAATGACTTCTATTGACGATTTCTGGGAACTCAAGGCACACTCACTCAAACCAACATAACCGTCGGGTACGGGAAGTCTTCCTCTACCCGATGGTGTTGTTGATTTGCGTTGGCGAGCCCTAACTTTCATCGAAAAAAGTCATTCTTTACAAAAGCTGTTACGCCCTAATTCCAGCTCTATCTAGATATCTCGGATATTCTCTCATGATGCAAGATGGCTCTGGTTTCTGGTTGATTTAGTTTTGTTATGAACATCTGATCGATTTGGCGATCCAAAAGAGGGACTCGTAGATATGTCGATCGCTGACCGGTTGCCGTTCGTAACATTCCCGTACCCGTATTGCTCTGAGTCCTCTCTTGCTGTACCACCAACTTCCAGAACCGCCAGCTTCGTCACCGGTCTTTTTAGCACTCCTGTAACGGTCTTTACCTCTGTGCTTCGTATTCGCCTATCACGACCCGGGAATACCCGTAGCGCTCGACCCCTTAGCCATCCATTGCATAGACGATCCTCCACCGCAACTACCAGGTCGGTAAACCACTTTGTTTGTTTCGTGATCGTTGGGAGGTATTCATGAACCCAACGACTCCAAAACTGGTCCAGCAGGTGCTGGTATATGTTCCAGTTGGTGTACGATACCACCTTTTCGTTTAGTGGCTCCATGGTCGGTTGGTTTACCCCACTTCGGTGTCAATGCTTCAGGAGCTTCTGAGTCGATTTGCAAGTACGTAAGGGGTCTTGAGTTCAGCATTGACTCCGCCTCGATCAGCAGCCTACCTACACATGTGTGGGGGCCAATCGTGAACTGAAACAAGAGCTGCGCACAATCGATCAGAAGTTAGCGACGCAACAATTCAAATCGAATTTTCAACTATGCAATGAGTCACCTGGTATGGGTGCTCACAGCTCAGGATAGTGTGGTATGGTCATCTCAGTATGCCTCGGCGGGGACGTCGAATTTTGATATCAACACATCGTCCACGTTCCAAAAATGCTTATATTGTTGGGTATTTGATAGTTTTTTTTTTTAGAAAACTGATGGCCGCCAAATATGATTTCAAAATGGCAGCGGACATCGAACTTTGACACCTACACGACATCCTCGTTCCGGAAATACCCATATTTTTGGGAATTTTTCAGAATTTTAAAACTGATGGCCGCCATCTTGCATTCCAAAATGGTGTCCAACATCGATTTTCGACCTCTACAACACGTCTTCCTTGTTTCTGAAATACCCATACTGTGGCGTATTTGAATTTTGACATCCACAAGTCGTCCTCGTTCCGAAAATACCCGTATTGTTGGGTATTCGACAGTTTTTTTTTTCTAAAACCGATGGCCGATTTCTTAGGTTTTAAAATGTTGGCGGACATTGAATTTTGACATCGTATCGTCAGTCTCTTTCCGGAAATACCCATATTGTAGGATATTTGACAATATTTCTAACACGGATGGCCGCCATCTTGGATTACATTGCACAGCAACATCCTCTATGGGTAGGCTTTCGAGACATAGCATTTCCAAGAAGTTCGCATGTACTGACGGACTGGAAGTTTTGTGGGCTAGCTGTTGATTTAGACTGTAAAGGGAAAGAGTGTACAATCCTTGGGCCGCCGACAGGAATAAGGAAGGTGATTCCTCATAAAGAATCTGCCAAGGGGTATTCAACTCTGCACACCTTAATCCATGCCGAGTGCTTGAGCTGTGCCAAGCACTGTGCCGAACAAGGTTTCAATCAAAGTGTGCCTATCAATGTGTCTCTATTCCACGAGTTATGACTTTTTTTTATTGCGTTTACATTCTTAATTTCTCTGATGGATCAAGGCAAGCATTCAGCTTCTTTTCATTCTCATTAGAGCGTTTGCAGAGCAGGAGGTGGAAGAGGAAATGGAAGCCATCTAATCTGTACGGAGTTCACCACGTCCACCCGATTCCGGATCGATGTCCCGTTGAACTGCTGATTCCTTACAGACACGAAGGCGTACCCGATCGATGATGGATGCAATTTACCACCTGCTCCCTGTCAAATTCTTCCCGACTAAAGTGAGTCAGAACTTTGATGGGTGAGAATTCAATTCCACCCTAGGAGCAACTTCCTCGATCCAGTTTTTAATAAAGCCTCGAATCAAATTTTCAGTAATGAGCAAGGCCTTACAGTTGACCGATCGCACTGGGCTCCCTTGATACGAGCTAGCTCTTGCAGAAAATCATGCTCTGATCCTCTGATGCAAAAATGCATTACCCAGCCCAAGCGTAGTCAAAATTTGTCGGATATACAAACAATGTCCTATTCAATTCCTCGATGATACGATAACAGACTTCTTCAAAATTTCCACCACAGGCGGCTTAATATTTATTTGCGTCCCAACTACACAAACGTGCATAAACTAACGTTCAATGTCTCCAGGTTTGTTTTTGATTCTCATGATCACGGGATCCAACTAGTTCGTACCATAGGTAGCTTTTGACCAACCGTCGGTCGCTGGAGTCAACCCGCTGTAGCTGTTTTGACTGCCGTATCGACAAGACCCTCTCGACCGGCCATGGTGTGGATGAACTTGATTTAAGCCCAAATAGAAACTGGTTTTTGCTGTGAATCGGATTGAGTTTTGCTAGATTTAAAGCGATCCACGGTTTAGAGAATACTTAAGTTCTTAATACTTGTACTTGTTAAGTTAAGTTCTAATAATTGTGCTGCCGCATCATCTTCCAACGTTCATTAGAATTCAGTGCTTTGAATTTACTGCAACTATCCATTCCATGGCCTACTTTGCTACAGATCGGAAATACCTTTTCCGCTGGTGTTTGTTTCACCTTGTGTTTCATCTGACGCACGAGAAGCGCTGTGTTGATTGACGAATCCTCGAGCCTTGGAATAATCGCTTTTTTTTCACTTCATCTTTCGATGCCTTCGCCAATGTCGCTGGTCGAACCGCCCAAAAGTGTCCAGGCTAACCGTCGGTACAGCGTCCTTGAAGTCCACCCACTTCAGCTTGATCTCCGTTGGAAGCTTCTCGACAAGTTCATGCAGCAACTATGGATTGGACAAATGTGCTTCGCTACTGTCATCCCGTAAGCGATAAGCGATTTGATTGATCAAAATCTCCGGTCTGCCAAAGAGAAATTCTCATAGTATCGATCACACGTGGGACTGCAGCAAGAAGTAGAAACCGACTCCGTTTCCGGAAAAGCTGGGTAAATCCTTTGGCGGGCTGCCAGATGTAAGTTCGTCAGGCTGGATGCTCCGCGATTGGGTTGAGCAGGGCCTGATCTGGGCGAGTTCCTCCTCTTGGAACATTCAAACCTGGATTTGATCCCGGATTTATTTTCTTCAGGAATCCTGGGTAGAACCGGAGGCCTCAGGTGGGTTTGATTTCTCATATTCAACATTGTCCATCAATTCTGCTGCCCTTTTAGCAATGTTATACTTCTCCGTAAAACCCCTCTGCTCCAACTTCTTCCGGAACTCTTCACGACGCTTCTCCTCTTCCAGCCACATCCTATACAGCCGTCCCCGTTCGGTGTTTTCTGCATTCTGCTCACACTCCGTTTCTCGAAAATATTCTCGTCTCCTCTGCTGCTGGTCCGGAAGGGCTTTTGCTCCATCGATCGACCACAACTAATCAAACTGCCTCTACCAGCTGATCCCTCAAATGGGGCGTTTAAAATCCGATACTTTTCGGCGAGATGCTTCCGAAGCAGGTCTGAACGGGACTTTTCATCGTCCAGTCGACGATCGTTTTCCAGTCGATTTCGTTCCAGTTCCGTCTCCTTTTCGCGTTGCAACCTTTTTGACGACGATCTTCTTCCAAGCGACGGCATTCGAGTTCGGCCTCCTTCTCACGTTGCAGCTTCTCCTGCTCCATGTGAGCTTTCTCCAACTCTAAAGTCTTCCAAAAGAGCCGCGCTAAGAAAATACACCAAGTACCAAGTACACCCTACAACTCAAGGACCATTATGCGAGGATCAATCATGCGTATCAACGAACCAGTCGCCAATGTTATTAGCTTCGATCTCACCCGAAAACTGTTTTGGAATTATGTCTGGCCTTTCATCGACTATAGTACTGAACGGCGAAGAAGCTTCATCCCCTCAGGATATTTACCGTCTGTTGTCAACCATGTTTGCGAGTGTATTTTCGGATGAGAACTTACCTGACGAGCACGTTTCTCTAGCAGCCAGTAATGTTCCAATGTCTGGTCAATATTTGGCAGCTATCAACATCGACCTCGCTATGATAACTAGGGCAGCTTCGCAACTTTCTCAAGCAATACATCGATAGCCTGGTGGCTACTCTCTGTCTTCTGTTCGAAATGTCCCTCTCCAGTGGGGTGTTTCCGTCCTGCTGGAAGTCAGCTGAGATGTTTCCAGTGCATAAGAAGGGATGCTAAAGGAAACATCGACAACTATCGCGACATCACATCGTTGTGTGCCATATCTAAAGGGTGATACGGTCAAAATTTGGTCAATATCAACTTGACGTATTTCTTTCAATTTTGCTTTTAAAAAACCTGAACACCCCTCATTTTGAAGGTGTGTGTGTGTAGAATGTTGCTCCTATTTTGATTTTGGAATTCACTCTTCAGTTGTCAAAATGCCGTCCAAGCAAAAAGAGCAGCGTATCAAAATTTTGCTCGCGCATCGCGAAAATCCAAGCTACTCGCACGCAAAGTTGGCAAAATCGCTAAAAGTTGCCAAATCAACCGTTACAAATGTAATTAAAGTGTTTGGGGAACGTTTGTCGACAGCCAGGAAGTCTGGATCGGGGGGAAATCGAAAACCGGAAGCCGCTGAGACGACAAAGAGAGTTGCCGGTAGTTTCAAGCGAAACCCTAACCTCTCTCTCCGAGATGCCGCAAATAAGCTGGGTGTATCGTCTACAACCGTGCATCGAGCCAAAAAACGAGCCGGACTATCGACTTACAAGAAGGTAGTGACTCCAAATCGCGATGATAAACAAAATACGACGGCCAAAGCGCGATCCCGGAGGCTGTACACGACGATGCTGACGAAGTTTGACTGCGTGGTAATGGACGACGAAACCTACATCAAAGCCGACTACAAGCAGCTTCCGGGACAGGAGTTTTATACGGCAAAAGGAAGGGGAAAGGTAGCAGATGTTTTCAAGCACATGAAACTGTCAAAGTTCGCAAAGAAATATCTGGTTTGGCAAGCCATCTGTACCTGTGGCTTGAAAAGCAGCATTTTCATAGCTTCCGGGACTGTCAACCAAGAAATTTACGTGAAAGAGTGTTTGAATAAACGTCTGCTGCCTTTCCTGAAGAAACACGGTTGTTCCGTATTGTTTTGGCCGGATTTGGCATCTTGCCATTACGGTAAAAAGGCCATGGAGTGGTACGCCGCCAACAACGTGCAGGTGGTTCCCAAGGACAAGAACCCTCCCAACACGCCAGAGCTCCGCCCAATTGAGAAATACTGGGCTATTGTCAAGCGGAACCTAAAGAAGACCAAAAAAAAACTGCTAAGGGCGAGCAGCAGTTCAAGGCAAACTGGCTTTCTGCGGCGAAGAAGGTGGACAAGGTGGCTGTACAAAATCTGATGGCAGGGGTCAAGCGTAAGGCCCGGCAATTCGGATTTGGAAAAGCGGAAGCCTAACTGAATATTTTTCCTGAATTTTATACTAATTGAACTTGAAAATGAAATTTAATTTGATTTTTTAAATAAACGATTTCACCGATTTACACGCGTTTTCCCTTGACCAAATTTTGACCGTATCACCCTTTATAGCGATCGCCAAACTGGATAGGCTCGGTATAAACGGCAGTCTCCTACGATGGTTCGCATCCTATCTATCTGATCGTCAGTTGGAAGTTGCAATCGACGACTGCCGATCTCCTTCGTTCCCTGCCACTTCGGGTATTCCGCCCTCGGCCCGTTGATATTTCTTGTGTACTTCAACGATGTCAATTTCGTCCTCGACGGTCCACGACTGTCGTTCGCAGACGACATGAAAATCTATCTCCGAATCCGAGCCATCGCTGACTGCCACCTTCCCCAACTCCAACTCAACGCTTTTGCTAATAATTGGCTAATTAGAATTGCTGAACATCCAATTACATTCAGTTATATCCTAGAAGGCGTTGACGTACATCTTGTGAATCACATTAAGGATCTGGGAGTCATCTTAGATTGTCAACTCACATACAGCCAGCATATCTCGTACGTGATCGACAAGGCATCCAGAACGCTCGGCTTCATTTTCAGGATAGCTAAAAGTTTCACGGACATCTGCTGTTTGAAGTCGCTTTACTGATCCCTCGTCCGGTCGGTGTTAGAATACTGCTGCCCTGCATGGAATCCCTATTACCAAAACAGTGTACAATCTGGTTTGCCCTTCGACGATTGCCTTGGAGGGATCCTCATCGCCTTCCAAGCTACGAAAGTCAGTGCCAGTTAATTCACCTGGATCCTTTGTGGAGTCGAAGAGATACGACAAGGCCCTGTTTGTGGCAGACTAGGTACAGGGCAGAATCAATTGTCCTTCTATTCTACAACAAATCGACGTTAACGTTCAACTACGAGCACTCCGTAACAACGCCGAGGATACCTTTTCGTCGTACAAACTATAGTTCGTATGGTGCATAGATCGCATGCGACCATATTTTCGTCCTCCGGATCTTCACACAGGCCACATTGAAGTGTCTTCGTCTTCGGCATCTTGGCCGGTTCGTTCAGAAACTACCGAAATTCATTTGATTCCGTAAATATTTTAAAACCATGGACACATGAAAATTTACAAAAATCGTTGAACATCAACTTTTGTCATGGTGGTCAATATCAATATCTTCCGGAGTCCTTTTATTGAGACCACCTTTCCTCTTTAACTGGAATATGGACATGCGACACAGCAATTCAGACTAATTTTTAATTACCAATACTATGCAGTTTCAGAGATCCACTTTTCTCACTGACAGAACAGAGCCATGCGGCAAATTATAGTCCGACTATGGCGGTCAATATCCAGATCTTCCGGAATTTGGTTCCTGAAACGGAATGCCATGACCATAACCTCAACACGACTTCCAAGTATCCACGTATTTCAGGAAAAACCAATAACCTCTCTCTCTCCCTCTCTCATCCCGCCAATCCAGATGTACGTGTGCGAGGAGTGCGGCCACACGACCAACGAACCGGAGGTGCACTACCTGCACCTGAAAGAGAAGCACCCCTACTCGCCGGCCCTGCTCAAGTTCTACGACAAGCGCCACTTCAAGTTTACCAATTCGCAGTTTGCAAACAACCTGCTCGGCTCGTTCCCGATGCCGGTGCAGAACTAGAGCTGTTGTCGCGAGTCCCCCGCAGAGTTCCCGATACTAGAGAGAGAAGCAAAAAGACAGCACGTTGGAAGTTGGTGACGGAGAAGAAGATGAAGAAGATCAAGAAGGAGTTGGTGGAAAATGAAGAAGAAGAAGAAGATGCAGGCGATTTTCCGACCCCTTGTTGAGTAAGTAGACGCTCCGCGCTTGTCCATTATCCTTGTGCTGCGAGTAGTTGTAGTAGTGGTAATAAAAGTAGTAGTAGTAGTAGTTATTTAGGAGCTGTTAGTTAAGAGTGCGCGTATTATGCGAAAGGATAATGAATCGACAAACAACAACAACAACAACAAAAGAAAACACTAACAATTATTTATTTGCTGCAATATTATTTTATACTACTTACTAATATCGATCGTAGGACGAGTAAGGTTAGGTTTAAGGTTTATCAGTGCAAGGCAGGAAGATGGGGGACGAGGAAAGTCGCCAGTTAAGGCTTTTTAGTGTAATTTATTTTTTTAAACAAGTTTCTTTTGTTTCTCGATCGGAGAGCATGTAGAGCATGTAGAGCAGAAAGTGCGCGAGATAATTGATGATTTAGGAGAACAGGGGAACGGAGGTGCCGGCTGGGTCAGCATCTTGATTGTTTTGTTTTTTCCCCCACTAGGATTGTAATTTTTTTTTTCGGAGGGCTCCTAGCCGGTGCTCAGATTTAGGATTTTACCTTTGTTGAAAGAGAGGAAATACAGAAGGTCCCAGAGGAAGTGGGACAATTTTTTACACCCTTGGCTTTAGTTTGTTGAAACAAGCAAATTGGGGTCACGCAAAAGCAACACTTTGGTGGCAGAAGCATAAGCTCACACTTTTATATCCGAAGAAACTCAAAACATAACAAAGCACAGAAGATGAAAATACAAGAATACAAAAGTCTGAATAGATGTTAACGAAAAATCAAGTTGAGAAAAGATGGGAAGAGGAAAAACAGAAGGGACACAACACAGAAGCATTTGAATGAAATTATTAACTCGAACAAGTACATCAATTAACTCAGAAAAGTGTATGCATATAGTTGGAGAACGGGGCAGAATGAGCGAACGAGCGAGCGAGCGAGCGAGCATGAATGTGAAGTTAATTTGCTACAGTATTGGACGGAAAGTTCGCAGCGACCGACTGTCGATCCAACTTACCACTTGGAGGAGTTTTCCTTTCCAAGATCAAATTCCGCCTGTCACACGGCACTGGAAAAACGAAAGCCTACTAGATGAGATTGAACATCGGAAAAGTTTGTTGACAGCGGCGCACTCAAAACAAATTCTACCGAGATTGCGCCGACTTTTAACCCAAATTCGAAAATTCAACCCAGCTGCCAACATTTCGTCCGATACTGTTCCAATAAATTGTAGATATAACACTTTCTTCCCGCAACCCGCGTTTGTGTATTGGAGCAAGCAAGAAGAAGCAGACGTAGGCAGAAACCCAATAATTACCGTTCTTTTCTCGTTTTTCATCCCGCAACTGGTGGCTACTCTCTGGGGCTACTGCGGCTGCGGCGGCCACCATTGTGCAAGAAGAGGAACGTCCATGTAATTTGATTGATTGTATGGAAATCATAATTTTGCTGCGTTCCTCTCCTCGCTCGGCCGGCATAAATTAATTTTCGTTCCAAATCACACAGTAAAAAAAACGAATGAAAGAAAAAGAACGCCTAAGAACGGTAAAACCTCCTTCAATACGCGGGAAGCGGCGAACAAATCATCGCAAAACAAATCAAAGTATATCGGGGTTTTTTGTGCAATCACTTTTTTTGGTGTTGGAAGTAACGACTACTAGAAACTTAGAGACGACGGAAACGAATCTGCGAAACGAAAATGATCTTACTCCTAGAACCGGCCCATTTGCTCCGGGAACAGAAATCGATCGTTTTTACACAGATACAGACACACACACACTTATAACTACTAAGCGAAAAAAAGAAACAATATGAGTACCTTTTTATCTAGTTTGTAAGGTGATATACAACTTGGCTGAATTCCATGTTTTTTTTTTTCTTCTGAAAAATCTTTTAGCCTAAATCTTGGATCGCTCTCCACTTCCTACCTTCTTTAAAGTATCTCGATAAAAAAAGAAAGTTAGTCATTTAAGTGTAATCTCTTTATTCGATTTCGTTTATTTTTTTCGTTAAAATTACCTTCCCTAATTAATTTAATTTAGTTAAAAGAAATTTGATCTTCCACTTATTCCTAACCTAAAAATCTCGAAATTCTCTGTATAGTTGAATTAATTGTAAGTGACCAAAACAGGAGCAGAACGAGAAACAAAAAATTACGATGAAAACATTATGGCTTTAATCGATTACTGCACTTTCTCTTATAATTTAAACGTTAATTTATCCCCCTCTCGAACTCAACTGAAATTATTCTCTCCGGTCACTCGGTCAGCGAAACAATTAAGATGAAAAAAAAAACAAACAAACATATTCCGATCCACTGTGTGTTAGATAAAGGAAAGTAAACAAAAAAAAAACAAGTAATATTCTAGAACAACAACAACAACAACAACAACCCAATCGTTGCATTTATTATTCAGTTACTTTATTATACAATTACAATTTATTAATTAATGTGACACGATGATCAACAATCATGAAGCGAAAACAATCGGATGCACAGAACAGAACAGAAGAGGACGAATAAGAAGAAGAAGAAAAAGGAAGCGCATCTTCGCTTCTTTTCCTTTTTTTTCCGTCGTTCTGTTTCATAGGAGAGCATATTATAGTAGTAATGAACCGCGACTACGACAATTGAAAAATTGCTAAAAATAAAAACTCAAAGTTAGTTGTGAAAAATAAGGACGGCCGTTTTTTGAGAACTGAGAAAAGAAATCTTTGATCCTTGTGGGAGACGCTCCCCCGCTTCTTTGTGGGGGTGGGAATTGGCCCGTATCGCTGGTAGATCACCTCTAAGTGGTGCGTTACGGTCTAACAAATGGAATTGTTCCGATCCCTACAATCCGCACGGTCGGTTGAAACATTCAACTCACTTTTGAGCAAATCCACCTTTGACGAAATTGAGTCGACTCGATTCAATCTTGTGTGCGATGATAGGTGAAACTAGTAATCGAAGACAAGAAACGGTCTAAGAACTTTAGAATAATTCTACGAACTTCTGAGAAAATCAGCAAACTTCCGAAAAATTGTGCGAACTTCAAAGAAAGTCTGAGAAAAATCCAGGAACCTTAGAGAAGTTCAGGGAACTTCAGAAAAAAATTTACCTTCAAAGAAATTCTATGATCTCTAGAGAAGTTCTGTAATTTCCAGAGAATTGAGATCTTCAGAAAAATTGTGCAAACTTCAAGAGGTTGGTCACTCCGCACAGTTGGACACACTCGTTGGCACTGTTTGGCACCCATAGTTAGAAATTGTCATTATCTTTGGAATTACTGGCAACACTCTGTGCCTTTGTCAAATCATTGTTGTTTACACAATCGAACTTTTGGATTCGTATAACCGGAACCCGTCACAGATTCCGCAAAACCGATTTGGATTCCCCATCCTAATGCCTGTCCGAAGCAGTTAATAGATCAAAACCATTTAATTGCCCATCATCTCACTAACACAAGCAAATCGCATCAATACGAACCCGCCTGGAGGGGACTATTCTGGATCAACAATAGAAAAGGGCCCACGCAAACCAACACCATCATCGGATAGGGGAAACTTCTACCTACACGGTGATGGTGTTGGTTTGTGTGGGCGACCTTCGGTTTGTGAGGAATGGGCTTTGAACAGAATAAAACAATCTCAGACGAAACACCTTAAATTAACCTGGAGTATTTTTGAAGTCCATATTGTCTTCTTTCTTGTTTGTTGAATTTTTTATTTTTTTTTTACTATCGTGATTCTAGTTCACTAGGTTTTATCAATGATCCATTTCTTCACCTAAGTGTGCAGCTCATCCAGAATGTTTTCACTTGTTTTTATAATGGCACCGCCACCATCTGAAATATTCACCGCGCGAACCTCAAGTCCTTCGACGAACAATCTATTCCCGGCGGGGATTTAAATCAGCGTGTTTTAAATCGCAGCCCGAGTCTCCCCTCCTGCCGTTGAGTCCACGCAATGTGTAGGCGAATCTCATCGACCAGGAGCAGAAGGGTATAGCCATCGCCAACAACTCGACTTCCGATAGGAAGCCGGTTTTACCCTTCTTACAGAGAAGGGTGTACATATCAAGTGCCAGGTGATAGGTATTGTAGTCCTCCTATCGAACGCTATTGAATATCTTAGGAATTCCAAGATCCGGAGATAAAACAAGATCTGACAAAATTTGAATTATTCGTATAAAACAGCATATCTCCTAAACAAAACAGTTGCCAAACGAAAGGTATTTAAATCCCACAGTTCTTTAGCTGGGATTATCTGGAGTTGGATCAGACATTCTTGAGTTATGACCGCGAATGATTTGGAAATGCCAGGTTATGGGTACAAAACATCATATCTTCTCAACAACTGAACCATGTTTGACAAACCAACCGCCAAACGAATGGAATTGAAGTCCCACTGTACTCTATTTAAAAATATTTGGAGTTAGTTCAGAAGTTCTGAAGTTATGACCTGAATAAAGTCTGGGTTTGTCAGTGCATGACGTCAGTGCATGACGTCAATGTTTTTGGGAAGATCCCGGGCATCAGATCTACTCGCTGCGTTTATGGACTCCCTTGCCGGTATCTCTTCGAACAAGTTGCTGCAAGTGTCCATGGATGGGCCCAATGTGAATTGAAGCTAGAGATACAAAAAGGTGGCGAGAAGCTGATAGATCTGGGAAGCTGTGAGCTGTTTATTTTGCATAATGCATTCATTTATTTATTTATTTATTTATTTTGTCGTCAATCAGATGTAGACCATTTTTTACAAGTTACAAGTCATGTGTTAAATTTACGAATAGAATTAAAGTACTGCTTTAATCTGGTTTTTGTCATTATAAAATCAATAGCTTCACTATGTTTATTGTAAGCAGTCATATTTTGATTTAGTGGACCAAATTTGGCATAATTTGTGCGATCGTTATTTGTAGTAAATATATTTCGAGTTCGCAGTTGCCGAGAAGGTTTGTAAAAATTAAGCTTTGATAACAGTTCTACTGAGTCAATTCGATGCGATACTATATCGTTCACAAACGAAACCATTGCAAATTCACGACGCGCTTTCAATGTTTGAATGTTGATGAGCATGCAGCGTGCTTCATAAGATGGAAGAGGAAATCTTGTCCAACCTAATTTACGAAGAGCAAATAGTAAGAATTGCTTTTGCACTGATTCTAATAGTTCCTCATGCGTGAATGAAAAAGGTGACCAAACTATGCTGCAATATTCAAGTATTGATCTTACATATGAAATGTACAGTGATTTTATTGTATACGGGTCATGAAAATTGTAACTGAATCGTTTGATAAAGCCAAGCATATTAGGTATTTGCTTTGTTGATAACTGTATTATAATGATCATTGAATGCTAGTTTTGAATCAATTATAACTCCTAAATCCCTAACTCGTTCACAATTTTCTACTGCCTGATTTCCTAATACAATTGTATTTTCTGGTTTGTTTCTTTTTGTACTAATAGCTGGTAGAGCGCTACTTCGTCGTAATCGCCCATTTCCGTTCTATCGATCAGAAAAGATCAATAATAGCAATGATTTCACCGTGCACAAATCAATAATAGATTTGTTCCGATGCGTTAGTTCATTAGCTACAACATAAATCCTGTTAGAGCGCATTGTATGAATATTTACGCTCATTGTTCTCAAAACAAAAGAAGCGCTCCTAGCGAATCCCCTTTTTCTACGTTTATCCGTAGGACGAAGAAAATCTAATGGCGTTTCAATGCGTTTGGACGGAATTGAAACTCGTAGGACGAATTTAGAATCAAGAAGCAGTGTTAGATTTTAAACAATATCTCAACAATTTGTG